AAAGAGTGTATACTTTGCCATGGACATATCCTTAAGGGGTTGTGTTACACCTCAGCTCTGAATTTGCTACTGGTTTAGAGTCTGAACTTTCAACCTATACAACATAACTGGCTCCCGTATAAGTGGAGAGAAGCTATGTGTGTATTGTACATTTACCTTGGTATTATTTTTGTCATCTTCGACATACGTTGATGCCTGGATTCAGCCAGGCTATCCTAAATCCAGCACTGTAGTAAAGAGGAAAAGAGGAGACAAAATGGCTCTCTACTTCAGTACTTTTCAATTATTAGATTAGCCTTTGGTGGGTAATCAGGTAAATGCCTGAAACTAAAACAATAAATACAAAGCAATAAACTAAAGCAGTTCTGAGGCTACTTTGATTTACTGTGATCTCTGATGGGGAACTGAGGTAACTCAGTTCCCTTAACTGCCTACAAATTAGCATAAGAGAGAAAGAATTTGCCTTAATGATGTCTTCACTTCACCTGGCTGCTTAATATGAAACTTGTTATCCAAGACTTCAGCTCTGCTTCAGCCAGTCGTAAGGTTCCATTTTACAGCCGCAATAGTCCAAACCAGACCTTCCTCATTAGGTTGTTGGCACTATATTTATACTTCATCAAATAATAAATTGGTCATTCAGCTCGGGAGAGGTAATTTATACTAAATTAAGCCAGTATTTAGAATTTTGAAATTCTCTCCCCTGTTAAACTTTAGTCCAGCAATTTAAAGTGAGCAAATCCTTAAAGACATCAATGGACATATTATATATTACTGAGTGATCTTCCTTTTGAAATAGGTATGAAGTGTTTGTAATGGAGAAAAATTCATTTTCAAACCTAATTCACATACTTTAGGCACACAGTTCTGAAGAATGCAGAGCCTAAAAAAATTAGCTTACGAACTTCAGTCTGTGAATAATGATGCAAACCCAGCAGAACTAGTTTTTTGGGGGTTTTTTTTAACATGTGCAGCATGAAAGTAGGAGGGAGGTCCTTCAGATAATTTACCAGAACCATATGTTACAGGTCCTCTAGGGTATCACACCAGACAGAATCTTAGTCCAGTAATGCTGGCTGGAATGTGAATGAGCAACCTTATCTGAACACATTTGATTGCTACATATTTACATGTAAAGAACAGAAATTCTGCACAAGAACTCAAAGTTTTCTATAATATTCTATGGCTCATAAATATATTTTGACAATTTCCATGTTGATAACATTCATGTTGTGTAGTATTTATTGGTGATAGAAAATTCAAATGTATTTCCCCTTTAGCTTTTCTTTTTCCACAATAACTACATTTTAGCAATGGTTTGATGAAACTAAATACGCTCTTCTTGTTATTAATCCCTATCTTTCCTTACAAATTATCTCAGTTATATTTCAATTTCTTTGTAAGTTAACATCAGCTGTCCATATTCATCTTTAACATGAACAGGATATATAGGCATACAACAAAGAAAAACAGATTCCTTAATACTACTACACAACTGCTTAAAAACACATTTACATGTCAACGATATTAATGTTCCTTCATAAAAAGAGAAAATTTTATTTCATCTATTGGGAGGATGTCCTATGATTTGTTGGAAACTTCTAGATTCAGTTTTACATCTGTTTTTCTATGTATAGAGAATGTACGCTACTGTATAGTCCTTTTCCCCTGTTTAAAAAGCTTCATAGCTGATTCATGAATAGCTGATTCATGAAAGAAGTAGCCATTTCTCTCAAGGAGGCTCTTGAGGAACTACTATTATGAAGACATTCCTCACTTCTTTTCCATGGAAAAAAAAATGTTTATGCTTGATTATGCAAGTTTAGTTTTGGAAAGTACCAGAACAAGTAAACCCTGATAAATATAAAAAAAAAAAGAGAAGAACTATCCATTACTGAAGGGTAGATTTTATACCTTGGTATCAGTATCCTGATCTTAAGTCCAGAATCTGCACTTGGAGTTGTGCTGTCTCCATCAAAAGTGTCAAACAGCATTATAACGTTTCCCCCAATTTGCTTTTCGGGAGCAATTTGGAAGGCAGTTTTGTTAAGATATCCATTAGATAAGATATCCAACACTAAAATATCCTAAACTCGCATACAGACACCCCCTCAAACACACACACACACATACACATAAACACATACACACACACACACACACACACACACACAGATTTTACAAAAGTCTTCTTTTCTGTAAGCAAGTAGTCGTAACATTGGAAAATCCTGCTGCTTGTTCACTGATTATTCTTAAATGATTTGTCACCACTCTGCCACTCAAAGGAGATGTTATTTACTTCTCCAGAGAAGCTAACTATGTTCAAAAGCAGCTAGGTGACGATGGTGGTGTGATATAAATTCCGATAGAAAAATGCATCATCCATCCATCCATCTATCTATCCATTCTGAGAAACTTCCACTGACAAATTCTTGCTATTTTCCAGCAGTCATGGGGTTCCCATCAATAAATAGAAGGTCAGTGCAACAATGAGGAGCAAGCAGAATGGAGAAGAGAAGGTCTGATAGGCAGCTGATGGCATGAAAATATCTTCATACTTGTAAATACTGACAACACGCTCTGATACAGGTGGTGAGTCTATGTCATGACGAGTTATAGAACCTTTAGTAGGTAAGGGCAGAAAAAATATTGTCAGATGCCTTTTTCCATGACTTTATCAAAGAAATAGCTAGAGAGCCATGTAACTCAAAACGACCTGAGCATGCAGTATCACACTGGCAGTGAGTACAGTCTTTTCACTACTTTCTGAAATTAAACTTCAGAACAAACTAAATGAAATTTAAGTAATTAATAAACATCCTTCAAAGGAATTCCGAACTTCTAGTTGTGAATTGGTCTTAACCAAATTTAGCTTTGGAGAAGAGGATAATAATTACATAGCCATGGAAACATGACTTGTAGGACTCCGATATTCATCTCTTCTTCCTTTTAATCTACTTTTTAAGCCTCATGCTGCCAACAATTTTATTGTAAGTCTAGTAAGAATAATGCACTGAAGGGCATCTATCATTTTGGCACCTCAGTTCTGACAGTAGCACAGACATCAACTTACCCTGAATTGCTGGACCCCAGGCAAACAAATAGTACCAACTCAAGTGCAGATCTACAATAGTTTCCTCTCGGGGAACATATACAGGACGCTTGAATCGACATGTTACACGATTGTTTTCAAAGACCCCTTCTTCATCTCTAGCAGGATTTCTCTGGATTTCTTTAGCCCATTGACCAACGTTATAAAAGTGCTGTATTCGGACTCTTCCATTATCATCATGAACACAAGCCATGACATCATCTCCTCCCTACAAGGTAAAAAAATACTTGGTAGAAATAAAACAAAAGTACCACAAAGCATTTCCTCATTCACTTGTATAATTTTCATTAGTAAGAGCTAATCAAGATAAGGGGCTCTCATTCCCATTTTCTAAGTTACACGTACACAAAAATTTTTTCCAGCAGTATTTCTTCAGTCAGACTGCACTGCACCAAGTGCATACTAATATTGACTTATTCTTTCTATCTCTGTACTCTTTTTGATCTTCCTAAGAGTCAATTTACCTAATGTGCATAGCATATGTGTACGAGATTATATCACCCTGGCATCACACAGTCAACTGATCAGTAGAAGGCTGTTTTCTTTCATAATGTGTGAAGTGCTGGTATCGTGCTTCAAAAAAAAAACTGGCAGTCTTGAGTCCTTCATATGTGCAAAATCCACTACATTGAAATCAGCAACAAAAAAGCAGTAGAATTTAGTAAAATTGAGGAAATTAATCTACTTAATCTAGATAAACATCAGCATAAAGGACAGTCTGTCTTCTCTAACCTCTTCTTATATTCATTTAAGCAAGTATCATTTCATTTAAGAGAAAATAAAAAAATATTCAACAAATGGTAATGGAATTCAGAACACTATAAAATACAAGAAAAGAGTAATCAATATGTACTTCTCCATATAGTGTAAACAGTCATCAAGCATTACAAAGGAAAAAAGAAACAGTGGATAAGAGAAGGAACTATGAGACAATTATTTGTAAAGATCATTCATAGAAATATTATAACTAGAATGGTTATTTAAGATAACTGTCAAAGTGGTAGAACACTATATCCCTCAGGAATTACCATTAGTTTTAGCAGTACTATCCTATGGAGGCCTTAATATCAAGAACCATTAAAACATTGTGTAAGTTTAGTGAATGGCATTTTAAGGAATTCTGCTTTCACAGGTACCCGTGCTGTATTAAAAGTAAGTCCTACTTCTCAAATACTAATCTTTCTGAAATGCCACACTGATGATACTTGCTAACGATGACGATACTTGCTAACGTGATCATCTCTCAATTCTTTGTTATGGGGAAAGAGCAACGAAGAGTGCAGTTCAGCTCTCTTGGACTATTGCTTTATGTAGATTTAGAAAAGATATGTGGAAAGTGAAGGGAAAAGGGGGACAACAACTCATGCTTGAACAGTTTCTGCAGTTCGGTAGTGCTGCAGGCAACCTTTTCAGCTTCTGTCTTGAGCTCATCACTGATGTCCATAAGTTATTCTCCAAGTTTAATTTTTATATGTCTGAGCACAGAACCCTCATTCTTAAGTACAGAGGCAAAAAGGCCACTTTCACATTCGAAAGGAAAGAAGAAAGCAATCTGAACCTCAATTTATAGAATGAGGTTACAAAATCCTAACTAGGCATAAAGCCTAGAAGTGGAACAAGCATAATGCTATCTATCTGAAACAAAGAAATGGGTCACACGACACTAAAAAAGAAAAAAAATCTACTGAGGACCCAAATACCATTTTTCCCCTGAACTTCTCTAGCTATCCAGGCCACATCATCTTGATTAGGGCCTCCAAGGTACACCACACTTCTCATAGCTAAGTTGCTTTTACCTGGAGTCATTTTACCAGCACATTCTATGTATCCCAGGATACCAAAACACCCTAGAAGTTATGAAAAGAGGTGAAATCAGAGGTGGAACAAGAAATGAAGACAAATGCAAGTTGTTTTAGTCCAGCTGACTGATATGCATTAGATTTCACACATGGCAAATTTGGAAGCAAAACCATTTACTTTCAGATAGCTCTTTGTGACATGTGGCTTGCAATATACCTTATTCTTTTCATTGGAAGCATAGACAGCATGCTGCTTGATATGCTTGGGCTGAAAGGCAATGTGTATTTTAAGTGGCTCATCAGGCACAACTGGTGGGCCCCATGGACTATCAGCATATACCTGCTTTCCAGCCATGAAGTACATGAACTCTGACTGCTGGGAGAGTCACCCAGAGGCCCATGGGCTGCGGTGGACAAACTTCTTGGCTGGGAATTGTGCTTGTGCTGCCTGGCCAGCAAAAACGCACAGTTCTGACTGAGGGCTGCCTTGCTAGCAAGTATGCCTTTCATGTCCGTGGTAGGCCAAATAGTGTAGCTGTACTCCTAAGTGAAAAAGGGAAAGGGAAAGGGGGGAACGTAGAGGACATGATGGGCGTGGGACTGCACTGGCAGGTCAGGGCACACAGTGTGAAGGGAAGGGTCAAGTCATGGGAGCCGACAGGTGGGGTTACAAGGGAGCACAGGGAGGGGACACTATGTTATACTGCACAGCATGGGTGAGAGGTTTTGTGATACAGAGCTTGACAAAGACACGCTGATAAATGCTAATGGTACTGATAAGTGTTAATCTCATTAAAAGTCTATCTAAGCATTGACATTCAAAATCTTTGCTTTAAAGTGTTGATCTGCCTAATCAACTGCTGGTATATTGGAGTTACAACTTGCTAACGTGGTATCTGATAGCTTGGGGCCAAATATTCAAAGGTGCTGAGCTGCTTTGAGGATCTTGTCAGGTATTTGCATTTTTATGAATCTAAATTTCTGCCAAAATTTGGCTGTAAAACCGTACCTTATAACATTAAACATGAACTGTTCTTTAAGACACGAAAAATTGCTATGTTTATTTTTAACAGTCTCATATTAAGACGTATGTACTTTTGACTGAAGAGCACCTACCCTCACATTCTCTTTCAGTTTCTCATTCTTGGTCTGATAAAAAGGCATGCAAGTCTTCCCATTGACTTTTGTGTGTCCTAGACTGGGACTTCTAAATACTCTTATATTTTTCAGACTACTGTTTACAGCTAAATAAGAAATAGTCCTATCCTCTGACTCAGGATCTTAGGATTTATAACACAAACACAATTAAAACACAATGAAAAGTAAAGCTTTTGAAAGAAAAAAAAAGGGAATGAGTAGAGAACTGAAACCAGTAAAATCCACGAGAGATGGAAGAAGAAATCTTAATAAGATTGCTAAATATTACAACTGTGTCTTAGTTATTACAACTGTGTCTTAGTTCAGCTTTGAATGTTTGACTGTTATTAGCTTTTTGCTTTTTCCATTAAAAAAAGCCCTCAGAGATAAAAATAAATCACGTGGTAAGCATCCTGTAGCATTTTATGCCAGTGTTACTTGGACAAAATATGCATCGGAAACTAGGCAGTATATAGTTTTATTCTTAGGTAAATCAGCTAATTTTCAATAATATAAATAAGGATTTTACTGTTAAAGTCTAGAGATTTTTTTTTCCTTTCATCCCTATGTGTTCTTCCAGAAAAGGTGCAAGTGTGTGACAAAAATGCCTACTGCTAATTTAAATATATGTGCTCTACAAAGCCAAGAAGGGAAGGGATATGGTACAAAGGATGAGATGGTTTTCTGGGAGCCTGGCTGCTGCTTCCAGGCAGGCTAGTGAACTGTAGCTTGTTTTCAACAGGTCAGCTTTTCCTTGTACGTTCTCTTTCTGACAGATAACTATAAACCCTGTCTATTCAAATATGTGAAAGTGTGCACTTTGTCAACATGAAGAACCATAAGAGTTGTTAGTCTTACCATTTTCTTGTCTGAAGAAAATCCCACTGCTACCCAGCCATCAGTATCGGCACTCAACTCAAATTCAACATCAGCTCCTATTCTACGGTAACTTAGAAAATAGTCACAAGTCTCTGCATTACATCCAGGTTTACCATACCTAAATGAAATTGGAAATATATGTAACTTTTAATGGCCTGCTTTGGAGCTTAATAATTATGTTTTTGCAAGAAAAACTTGGATTTGGTACAATGCATTATACCAAATTTTGGTATAATTGGTGTAAAACATATTATATTATGCTATACAAAAAGTACCATTAATTACAGTGTTTACAGTAATTTTTCTGTTACAGTAAGGATATATAAAATTTGATCACTATGTTAAGCAGCTACAGACTGTTACAGCAGTTACAGTTTTAGTCTACTGACCTTCCTAGGCCTAGTTTTGCAAGGGCTTCAAAAAATGCAAGGAACGTGAAATAATCTAGTCCATAAGCACAAATTACTAACATGTTTTAAACTGAATGGGGAATACTCAGTAATATTTCTAATGCAAACAGAAAGATACCCACATTTTTGTTTCAGACTGACCTGAAGCATCCCTTGGTTTTTCCACAGTCATCTACTCTAATTTTTGCAAATATATCC